GATCAAGGGCGCTGTGCAGCGCCTGCGCCCCGCGCGCCCCGCGGGGAGCAGCTGGGAGCGCGCAGAGCGCAGGGCCGCCCCGGAGGCCGGCGCCGCAGCCGTCAGAGACGGCGTCAGGAAGGGCTGGGACGGCGTCAGGTCTAGGCTCGGCGCGAAGACGGCCGCGGGGGAACGGTTCGTCATGAAGGAACGCCCCGAGACCGGCGACTTTGCGGAGAGCAAGGACGACATCTACTTTCAGAAGCTCATGACCATGGACTCATGACGTGGCGCGCGCGGGCCGGCGCGCTGTTGTCGCGCGCGCTTGGCGAGGGGCGGGTAGGGGGCGGTGCGCGCTTGAAAGCTCGCGACGATTTGTAAAGTTAAACTAGGCATAGACCCCCTTTTCTTGTTTGCGTTGCAGCGGCGATGAGCCGGCGCGCGAGGCTTGCTCTAAGGTCAGGCGTCAACTGAGGTCGCCTGAGGTCGCGTGCGGCTGCTTTCCACACGGGAATAGACTCGGGGCGTCGAGGACTACAAAGCGCCGAGTCCAATGTTGAGCCTGAGGTGAACTGATTCACGCACGAGAACTGCGGGAGACCGAAAGCCCTGGACAGCCTGTCCGCCCTCACGGCGCGTCCGGCGTCGCCTTCTCCCATTGGCGGTATCGAAGCCCGCCACGTCAGCCTATGGTTGAAGCTTTATGACGCACCCGCGCCGCGCCGCGCCCTCGCGTCGCGACACCACGCTCGCCTGTCCCGCCGGGACCTGCGTTCCCGCCCGGACCTGCGTTCCCGCCCGGACCTGCGTTCCCGCCCGGACTCGCGTTCCCGCCGTGCCGCCCTTCGCGACAGCCCGGCGGCGCCCCCCGCGGCACGCCGCTTGCGAAAAGCGCAGCGCGGATGCATGCACCGCGCCGGCCTGCGCTTTGCGCGCGCAGCGCCACCGCCGCGCCGCCCGACGGCCCTATTTAGGACCCGTCCCCCGCGCTCGAGCGACGCCCGCTGCCCCGCTACGCCATCGCCGCTACACCATGTCTCCTATGACGCCGCTGCTCGCCGTGGTGCTCGCGCTCTGCGCAAGCGCGCGTGGCCACGCCCTCGTCTCCTGGCCACGGCAGGTCGGCCTGGTGTCGACCAACGACTTCAACTTGACGCATCTGGCCGCGCTCGCCAAGCCCGACTTCTGCCCGCACTGCCTCAACGGGGGCGGCAAGCGCGCGGTGGTGGCGGCCGCCCCGGGCGGACTGTGGACGCCGTACGAGCCCACAGACTCGTCCTTCCCGTTCCGCGACGACCACGGCGTGTGCGGCGACGCCAAGGGCGGCGGCGCCCACCTCGCGCCGCACGGCGTCTACTTCGCCAACATCACACTCGCCACGTACGCGGAGGGTGACTTCCTCGACGCCGAGGCCCTCGTCAACGTCCACCATAACGGCTACTTCGAGTTCTTCCTGTGCGACATGGACGCGTGCGGCGGCGCCGCGCTGAGGAATGACTGCTTTGTGAAGGGCTCGTGCACAAAGTTGATGCGCGTGCCGCATCCGGCGTGTGAGGGAGGGAGGGATCGGTACTGCGGCCCGGTGGACGAGGCGTACCCAGGGAGGTGGTACTTGCCGCCGCCGCACAAGCAGCATATCTCTGACAACTGGTATGGCGGGAGGAGCAAGAAGATGCGCTATGCGTTGCCCGAGGGCGTCACGTGCGAGAGGTGCATCGTGCACTGGTACTGGGCAACGGCGAACTCGTGCAACCCGCCCGGGTATGCCAACTACTCGTTCCCACGCAGGTGGGAGGGCTTGCCTGGGGATGGTGCGTCCACGGGCGGCATCAATACAAACTTTCCAGAGTGCGGGAGCTCGGCTAAAGCCTTCCCAGAGGAGTTTTGGGCGTGTTCGGAGAACATCGTCATCAAGCCTAGGCGGCAGCGTGCCGCACGCACGAAGCAGATCTTCCATGACGGCGAGATGAACATCGAAGGCCCGGGTGACTCGTCTACGCATCGCCCAGGCGTGATCAAGCCCAGTCAGCCGGCGGCAAGCGCTGCCCCGTCAATGATGCTGCCGAGCGAGACCGGGGCTAGCAGTGGCGAACAGGAGGCCAGGCCGACTGAGAGGTCGAGGGCCATGGACGGCAAGGCGTCGGATATTTTACCAGAGTCCGATGAGGGCGCGATTGCAGTAACCCCGTCCATGATGCCGAGTCAAAGAGCGGCCGAGGCTTACGGCGACCAAAAGAAGACGAGACCGACTGAGGAGAGTGCAGGGGGCGCGGAAGACGAAGAGTCGTACATGCCACCTGTGGAGTCCGGTGAACGCAGGAACGCATCCAAATACAACCTTATGCGCTACGTCTCCACGTTTGATACAGGGAAATGTTTTCGGGTCGACAAAGGATTATCCTTCTGTCAGGCCTGTCTGGACTTCGGTCATGGAGTTACAAAGTGTATGTGGTGCATGGCTCATGAGAACGGCAGAGGAGAATGCTACGCCGACATGCCCACGCACTTGTGAAAAGGGTTTATATCTGCGTCAAAACGTCGCAATCGTTCTTATGCAGTACTCTACTACTAGATATTGGTTCTAGGGCAAGCATTCTTATTCTCCACTACCGAGAAAGGATATATTTCCGCACGGAAGTGTGGGTAGCTGGTTCTAGGTGTACAGTACATTCGTAACAAATGCCTTTGCCTCGATTAAATGAAGAGAATTCTCTCTTGCTATGCTCACACCTATGGACGTCTCTTCTGGCAAAAACGTATGCATAAGGAATGCGACAGTGTTGTCATTTCCCAACACGCCGAATAGTAGATGACTACACGCCAGCTTCTCTTCGAAGGCACTAGCGTTCTCAACCACCACAAGATTTCGATGTGAAGAAGTGGTAAAAGTCGATTGAGTAAAGAATCAGTCTGTCTACCATGTACCTGCCATGAGCGCTATTTACGGATGGAAACGAAACACCCACCCAGAGGCGGTACAATAATGAGGCAAAATCATGAATCGAAGTTTCGACATTGCGCCGTTCCGCGAAAGCTTCAGAACGACCTAGTCTTTCTTTGCTGACTGTCAGTACAGGTATCGCCTTCACAGCAAACGAACCGAAAAAACGAGGAGATACTCAACGTTCGCCGATCCAACGACAGCCGTTACTACTTCAACGCACTACCTACTTTACGTACAACCACTTGCAGGGCGAAGCATGATTAAAAATCTTGTGCAAATGTCAGTTTGACCGCATGTATGCTCATACGGTATGCTCCCAGACCAGTTCAAATAATCCATTGGCATCTCCATTGGGAAACACTCTTGTCATGGTCTTATCGAAAAAAAGGCGACCACCCAGGGACACAGAATTCAATAGCCATTGGTTCAAAGGGTACCTACGCAGTGCGATGTTCCACGAGTCGATACAGACTGAAACAATACGTCGATGACGTCCCCGAAATGCCCGCTTCCACGGAAAGCACTTCGACGTTAGAAGCTTCAAACTATTTCTTCAACAGATGCTCACAGGGATCATGGGAAAGACACCAAGTACCATTACAGTCGGGTGCACATGTACAGAAACACGTAAGAAAGGGTCGGCTGTTCGTCCTGGTCCGTGGGTTGCTTGAAATCGTCAATTGTACACGATAGTAATACTTTCGCGAACATAGCCAAGTAGGAATACTACTGTTTCTCCGAACCCTTGCCCGAAACAAACATCTCACTCGTCGCACAGACATCGGTACTCTATACAGCAGGATGCACCTCCACCTTGCCGTTGTCAGTCTGGCCGACATACGCTGGCTCGACACTGTCGTCCATCTCCTCAAGCTCATTCGCCGGCATGTCAATGCCAAACTGGCCTTCGGTGATGTTTTGGTCAGAGTGGTCAACGTCATCGTCACCATCATCGTCAGCGTTCTGTGAACGGGCAGCGCCAGCAACAGCAGCCTTCACACCTTCCGTCGCTGCATGTAATTGCGTGAGAACAGCCAGTACGTCACTCTTTCCAGGCACATCCTCTTCCGACGGAGCCGCATCTTCGTTCTTGGTACTTTCATGTTCTGGTGTTGCCCTCGACGAAAACTGGGCTGCTTCTTTGACAGGCAGCGTAACAGCTGGTGTCTGTGCTTGTGTTTGCTCATGAGACGCGTCTTGCGGGGTTAAGACAGTATTGCCTTCGTCTGCTTGGCTCGAATCTCGAGCTTCACTGTTTTCATGAATTGCCGTATCAACGCCAGCTCTGGCTGAAGATAGGTTAGAGGCATTGTTTCCATCGAAACAGAGTTCCCCGGGGCCCTCCTCCACACCTGTTTGGTCAGCGGGAATATCCTCATCCGCCCAATCGGTCATAGGCTCATCTGCCCCCCCGGTCGTAGGCTCATCTGTCCCACCGGTCGTAGGCTCGTCTGTCTCAGCGACTGTTAGCTCAACTGCTTCATCAGCCACAGGCTCACCTGTCTCAGCGGTCGCAGATTCATCCGTCTCATCAGTCGCAGGTTTGTCTGCCGCAGCAACTGCAGCTTCAGTTACCTCAGCGACTGTACCTTCATCTGCCTTATCAGTCACGGGCTCTTCAGCGACAATAGGTTTAGTTACGTCAGCGGCCGTCGGCTCGTCTGCATCATCAGTCACAGGCTCTTCCGCCTCAGCGGCCGCAGGTTCATCTGCATCGTCAGTCGCGGGCCCTCTCGCTTCAACGACAGCAGAGTCAACTGCTTCAGCGGCCGCAGGTTTATCTGCTACATTGATGGCGTGCTCTTCTGCCCCAGCGACAGCAGATTCAACCGCCACAGCAGCTGCAGGTTCATCTGCATCGTCAGTCGCAGGCTCTTCCGCTCCAGCGACAGCAGTTTCCACTGCCTCAGCGGCCGCAGGCTCTTCTGCATCAGCGACTGCAGGCTCTTCTGCATCAGCGACTGCAGACACATCTGCTTCATCAGTCTCAGGCTCTTCCGCCTCTGTGACAGCAGGCCCAACCTCCACAGCGGCCGCAGGTTCATCTGCTACATTGATGGCGGGCTCTTCCTCCCCAGCGACAGCAGATTCAACCGCCACAGCAGCCGCAGGTTCATCTGCATTGTCAGTCGCACGCTCTTCCGCCCCAGCGACAGCAGGTTCCACCACCTCAGCGGCCGCAGGCTCATTCGCTACATTGATGGCTGGCACCTCCGTTTTAGCGACAGTAGGTTCAGTTACCTCAGCGGCTGCAGGCTCTTCTGCATCAGCGACAGCAGACTCATCTGCTTCATCAGTCCCAGGCTCTTCCGCCTCTGTGGCAGCAGGCCCAACCTCCTCAGCGGCCGCAGGCCCATCTGCATCATCAGTCGCAGGCGCTCTAGCCTCAGCGACAGCAGGTTCAACCTCCTCGGCGGCCGCAGGCTCTTCTGCCTCAGCGACAGCAGGCCCAACCTCCTCGGCGGCCGCAGGCTCTTCCGCCTCAGCGACAGCAGGCCCAACCTCCTTGGCGGCCGCAGGCTCTTCCGCCTCAGCGTCAACAGGCCAAACCTCCTCGGCGGCCGCAGGCTCATTCGCTACATTGATGGCTGGCACCTCCGTTTTAGCGACAGTAGGTTCAGTTACCTCAGCGGCTGCAGGCTCTTCTGCATCAGCGACAGCAGACTCATCTGCTTCATCAGTCCCAGGCTCTTCCGCCTCTGTGGCAGCAGGCCCAACCTCCTCAGCGGCCGCAGGCCCATCTGCATCATCAGTCGCAGGCGCTCTAGCCTCAGCGACAGCAGGTTCAACCTCCTCGGCGGCCGCAGGCTCTTCTGCCTCAGCGACAGCAGGCCCAACCTCCTCGGCGGCCGCAGGCTCTTCCGCCTCAGCGACAGCAGGCCCAACCTCCTTGGCGGCCGCAGGCTCTTCTGCCTCAGCGTCAACAGGCCAAACCTCCTCGGCGGCCGCAGGCTCATTCGCTACATTGATGGCTGGCACCTCCGTTTTAGCGACAGTAGGTTCAGTTACCTCAGCGGCTGCAGGCTCTTCTGCATCAGCGACAGCAGACTCATCTGCTTCATCAGTCCCAGGCTCTTCCGCCTCTGTGGCAGCAGGCCCAACCTCCTCAGCGGCCGCAGGCCCATCTGCATCATCAGTCGCAGGCGCTCTAGCCTCAGCGACAGCAGGTTCAACCTCCTCGGCGGCCGCAGGCTCTTCCGCCTCAGCGTCAACAGGCCAAACCTCCTCGGCGGCCGCAAGCTCTTCCGCCTCAGCGTCAGCAGGCCAAACCTCCTCGGCGGCCGCAGGCTCTTCTGCCTCAGCGTCAGCAGGCCAAACCTCCTCGGCGGCCGCAGGCTCATTCGCTACATTGATGGCTGGCACCTCCGTTTTAGCGACAGTAGGTTCAGTTACCTCAGCGGCTGCAGGCTCTTCTGCATCAGCGACAGCAGACTCATCTGCTTCATCAGTCCCAGGCTCTTCCGCCTCTGTGGCAGCAGGCCCAACCTCCTCAGCGGCCGCAGGCCCATCTGCATCATCAGTCGCAGGCGCTCTAGCCTCAGCGACAGCAGGTTCAACCTCCTCGGCGGCCGCAGGCTCTTCCGCCTCAGCGTCAACAGGCCAAACCTCCTCGGCGGCCGCAAGCTCTTCCGCCTCAGCGTCAGCAGGCCAAACCTCCTCGGCGGCCGCAGGCTCTTCTGCCTCAGCGACAGCAGGCCCAACCTCCTCGGCGGCCGCAGGCTCTTCTGCCTCAGCGACAGCAGGCCCAACCTCCTCGGCGGCTGCAGGCTCTTCCGCCTCAGCGTCAACAGGCCAAACCTCCTCGGCGGCCGCAGGCTCTTCCGCCTCAGCGTCAGTCGCAGGTACTCTAGCCTCAGCGACAGCAGGTTCAACTACCACAGCGGCCGCAGGCCCATCTGCTTCATCAGAAGTAGGCTCTTCCGCATCAGCGACTGCAGGCTCATCTGCATCGTCAGTCGCAGACTCTTCCCCTTCAGCGACGGCAGGCCCAACCTCCTCAGCGGCCGCAGGCTCTTCTGCTTCAGCGACAGAAGGCCCACCCTCCTCAACGGCCGCAGGCTCATCTGCATCGTCAGTCGCAGGCTCTTTTGCCTCAGCGACAGCAGGCTCAACTGCCTCAGCGGTCGCAAGCTTATTTGCCTCGGTGACTGCAGGCTCAGCTGCCTTGCCCGCTGCAGGCTGAATTGGCTCGCTGGGCATAAGCTCGTCTGCGTCAGCAGCTGCTAGATCGGTTGCTTCACAGCCTTCCGGCTCATCCGTCTCACCGGTGAGAGGCTCATGCGTTCCGGTGGCAGACTCAGTTGCAGCAGCGGTCGCTGGCTCGTGTGCCGCAGCGACCGCGGGCACGTGCTCCTCAGCGGCTGCGGGCTCGACTGCCTCCGCGCTCGCAGGTTCACCTGCCGTAGCGGGTGTGCGTTCAACTGTCTCAGCAGTCCCACGTTCCTCGACGGGACCGGTCACCGTCTCATCCGTGGGGTCAGCTGTGGAAGCGCCCTCCTCTTTGACATCGACATCATCCGTTGGAGGGTCTATCCCATCAACGATGGGAGCGATCTCACGTACATCGTCAGCTTCACTATGCTCGGCGCTAGCCTCACTGGCATGAATCTGCTGCTGCGCCTCGCCCTGTTCCGCTTTCTCGGGCTGATCAGCACCGATGGCGAAGTCGTGAACTTCACGGGCTGCGGCTGCAGCTCTTTCTGCCTCGTCGGTACCAACTGCAAAGTTCTCCGCCTCACTGGCATCAATGGCGCCTTCGACGTTCCTGCCTGAACCAACCATGCGACTGTCGGCTTCACTGGCACTAATCACTGCGCGCTCATCTGTCTCGCGTTCCTCCGGTGCCTCTGCTAGCAAAGGATTGGTAACGGGAGCAACATCCCGAGTTGGTTCAGTATGAGGCTCCGGTGCGGTAGGATGTTCTTGATACACACCTGATGAGATAGCATCGGTGGTGGCAGCCGCCTGTGCAGCCGCGCCCTCATCTTTGATCGATGAGGTTGGCGCGTCCGCGGAGACCGGTGGCATAGAGGGGTCGTCCTGGTCCGAGACAGCACATGCAGGAACAGAAGAAAACCCGCCTGCAGCTGACGCGGCAGTTGTAACTGGAACAGAAGGTGAAACGTCCTCCTCCGCGCCCTCCCGATGAACAGGAGTATGGGCGTCAGCAGAAGAGATGTCAGGCCGAGAGAGAGAAGCACTGTGCAGGTCCTCCGCAGGAGAAGAGTCCCCGTGCGGGGCGGAGGAGGCAGCGGACGTAGGAGGAGGCGCGTGGTGATTAGAGGTGGCGTCAGTGGCAGTCTGGGCGAGGCTGGTTCTAATATCAGTCGAGGGAGGGAGGGCTGGTGGCTCTGCGGGAATTGCATCGGGTTCCGCAGGGTGCTGACCATAGGCAGAGATGTCCTCCCCCGTCTGAAGAACAGAATCCTCGGCAACCAGTTCCCTTCCCAGGGTAAGATTCTCGGCAGCGAAGGCAGCACTAACATCCTCGACAAGGCTCGAGCCTCTTCCGGAAGGAAATTCCTCTTGAGGCAACTCGGCGGTCTCCGAAATAGGAGGCAGGGACGGGGGCAAAGGGCGATTAATGGAGGGAATAAGTGAGGCCCTCTCCGGCTCGAACTGGGGGTCCTGGCGCGTGGCACCATACGAGCTCTGCAGGCCCCTGGCGACGACGAAGTTGGGCAGGAGGCCGCCGGACATCCTGGACGTGAGCGAGCGGTTGGGTTGCGGGGAGTGGCGGCTATCGTCGTGGTAGCCGTCGTAGGTCTTGAAGCATAAGCCGTAGATGAGGAGGCACGCGGAGGCGGAGATGAAGAGGACGGGGACGAGGCGGAGGAGCCAGCCCTTGCGCTCGACGCAGTCGGTGTTGACGACGGCCGAGGTCTGGGCGCAGGCGAGCGGGAAGCGGGTGGCGCACGCGGAGACAATGCAGTCGGGGCATGACGCGACGGGGAAGGAGGTGTCGACCGGCGGGACGCAACGCGTGCGCCCGGACTGGCCCGCGACGTAGCAGCAGTCGCACTGGCACGTGTCCTCGCGCGCGGCCACCGCGGCGCGAAGGGAGAACGGGAAGGCGGCCGCCGCGGCGAGCAGGAGCGAGACGAGGAGGAGGCGGCGCATGGCGGCGGGGCGGGGTGGGCGACTTAGATAGGTGGGGGGGCGCGGCGGGCGTGGGGATGAGAGAGTCGGTTGGAAGTGTTACGGACCGTGGGGTCGCAGAAGGGGTGTCGGTGCACGCGCGCGACGATGGTGGCAGCGTGCCACGCGAGGGCTTCGGTTGCGCGCCGAGGGCGACCGGCGCGGGGTGGAAGTACCGTACAATATGGAACGGCTTCTGCGCCGACAGGACGCGGGCCCGATGGCGAGTAACATTACGCGAGACGCGCAGGTTCAGGCGCCCATTTCAACCACGAACCGAAATCTACAAACATTTAATTAGGCCTCAATACTGTACCTCCCTGTCCGTAACTTGTCATAGCCCAACTACTGTATTCTCGTCCCCGCCGCCTTCACATCTCGCCACGAATGCAAATACGTTCGGATACGTTCGCTACCTTCACTCGCCTCATCTCTCCGCCCTCCAACTCACACCCCGAAATTACTCGAAATTACTCGTAAACTAACTCTTTCTGCACCTGTGTAAACCACACACCAACTCACAAAACAGAAATTACTCGTAAACCAACTCCTTCTGCACCTCGTTTTGCACCCGTGTAAACCACGTACCGCGTGTCATACCAAACAAATATACAATCCACTTGGCATACCCCCATTCGCCTTTACTGATTTCCCATTCCGCCACCATCTCAACTCCCATTCCCGCCGAGGCCCTCTGATCTCCCCACCCCTATGTTTTTTCTGCATCCAGTCACTCGTGTCCTAGGCGTTGTTTCCCGTCCCTCCCGCCCCTGTCGCAACGTCTTCCCCCATCCGACGACTACTCAACACTCTCCCCATCCTCACCGTCCCCGCAATGTCTGCCTTCGTCCAGACCACCGCTCTCCCCTTCAGCCCGCATTCCCACCGCCGCAATCTCTCTCCTCGCCGCCCCTCCTCAGCACCACGCTTCAGCCCCCGCGCCACCCTACCCATTCTCCCCCTCGCCGACAACCCGGCCGCCCTAGAAACGGTCGCCGCGGCCTTCCGCTCGCTCAACATGCCCACCTGGCTGGTCGAGTGGGGCCACCCGGGCCTCATGACCTTCATGGTTCTCGGTATGGGTGCCCCGGGCGCCTTCCTGGGTTGGAGCGGTCGTCTCAACAAGGACCGCAAGGCCGGCGTCAAGCAGAAGAAGCTGCATGAGAATATCATGCTCGCCTTTTTCTTGCTCGCTGTCCTGGGTGGTTCGGGCGGCACCCTCAGTGTCGCCATCCAGGGCTACGACGTGTGGCAGTCACCACATTTTCTGTCGGCCGCACTCGTCTTATCCATGCTCACGCTGAATAGCGTCCTCGCCTATACCGGCTTCTCCTTTGGGAGCGATGGAACCCCCAAAGCACGCATACGCGGCAGGAAGATTCATGCTTGGTTTGGTGCCGCTACTATGGCCACATTTCTGCTGCATGGTGTCTTGGGGACCAATATTCTGCTCGGGTAGAACTCATCTGCAGTCCTCCTTGTCTGAGCTAGAGTCATAACTTCGACATATTTACACGACCAACAACTTTCTAGATTCCCTTGGTCAACCTACTGTAACGATTCTTGTGCTCCTTGTCTCATACTTTTCGCCGCCGTCTCGAGCTGCGACGCACAACTGGCACAACGCTATCCCCCTTTTCAACTTGTTTCTCCTTTCTCTTCTTCTTCAGCTTTGACGTTGGCGAGGCCTTTGATGGTCCTGTTTTCTTGTCTATCTGCTCGCCTCGTGGTAGAGTGCGTCGCGATTGCCCATGGTCTTCACCGACCAAATTCCCTGTGTCTACGTTCTCCTTCTTCTCCATAGTACTTGCGGTCTCCTTTTCAGACTCATCCTCTGGCACAGTCGAGTCTTTGCCGACTGCTTCAGAAATTACGTTAACGCTCTCAGTTCCCTTCGGGACGCTTTCTTCGTTCTCCGTTCCACATCTTGTGGAGCCTTCGGCGGTACACGCTACCTCTGACCCACCTGACTTGGACTCCTCAAGTTGCTCCTCACCCTTGTCCGGCGATTCGTCCACGGCATCTGTAGCTCTGATGGAGCCACTGCTCTTTCCCCTTGAGCTGCGCTTGAGAGTTGGCTGTGAGCTCGGCGACTCCTTTTTCTGTACCGATAATCGCCTTCTTTTCCCATTTGCCATATTTTTGTCGTCCGTCTCAAAACTGGCATCGTTCTTGCGCAATTCGTGCGATCTTCGTTTTCCAGCACGCGTCCGTTCCACGATAACTGGCCTAGAAGTCGAGCTGCTCCTCATCTTATCCTCAATTGGCTCAGAGTCGTTCTCGATTTCCCCAATGGGCTCCAGAGATTGCGTGGGACTCCCATCTGACTTTTTCCCCGCATGACTGTCTAGGACCGCCTTACGCTCGCCCGAATAATCCTCCATCTGATTCTCTACACCATTGCCCTCCGACTTTATGGGCGACTCTGGATTTGCCGCTTCTGCGGCCTTGATGCGCGCAACAAGGTTACTCGGTTTTGCCTTGCGAGCTGACACCCGAATTTTGTCCTCGTCGTACATCTTGGCAACCGCCACTAGTGAAAGGGGTAGCACTCCTGATGTTTCTGCCGTCCTATTGACCACTCTAAACATATCTCGGGGAAGACAGACGTGACCTGGGTGTTCTGCAAGATTCCACTTCTTGCCGGCTTGTTTCTTCTTCAAAAGCGCACTTGCAATCCGCCCAAGTTCCGTGATTCGGGCAGTTTTCTCTCCCGGTCCCTCGTCCTCTCGCTCTGTGGCATCTTGCGCCATCGACAGTGCTTCGATATACTCGTTCAAAACACTCGCGTAATCGTTGGATTCTAGCAAGCGATCCAGTAGCAGCTCTAAACATTGCGATGATTCTCCAAAGTTGGATTCTTGATCCATTTCTACGTCTGGAAGGTTTGCCAGTACCCAAATCATCTCCGGCAGTATAGATTCAGGAAGTAGTTGAATGCTAGACAGTTTGCCCTCAACGCGTGCCTTTTCGTAGATACGTCTGCGGTGTCGAAACAGGGAAGTCATCATATTCTTCACTTTCGCGACGTTGCGGCGTTCGGGGTCGACTGCCATTAAAGGAAGAGCAAGCACCCACCTGAACAACAGCCCTTTTTTCAAAATCTGGTTTGAGATAAGCTTCACGAAGTTGAGTCGCACGTTGGCTTTGCGATCTTGTGCAATTAGAAGTGTCGACACAAAGAGAGGAGGAGATATTCTGTGGAAAAACCGTGGATGTCTCGCAAGATAAAGCATCCCGCGACCGGCAGACAGTCGGGTCATTGCGCACATCGCATCCATAGTCACAAGGTCTTCAGAGTTTATCTCGTGGTCTGAATCGCTCTGTTCGCCTGGCAGCATGTCAAACACATCTCCTCCCTTCTCGTGCATAATCTTGAGAAGAATCTCAAACACTGCATCGACCTCTTCAAAGTTTGAATCGACTGAACTCAGCGCATAGACTAGAATTTTCACGCCACGATGGGCAGCTTCCGCCATACATGACGCACGGGAATGTGATATCTGATCCGGTAGCATATGGGCATCTTCGCCAAGCACAGACGGTAAAGAAGAGCGCCTCCGCAATGTCTGGCTATAACGGCGCGTCGACTGGCTTGCGCTGGATACATCCGTGCCACTTTCTTTGGCAGTCAAGGCGACTTTCGCGTTAAAAGACCCACATAAAAGTGCTCGCGCAAAATCAAAGCATTCTAGTGCTGCAGGCTTGAACTCCTTCGGCGCATGCTTGGCGAGTTGCGAAAGAGCTGTCAGAGGCGCAACAATGCTTTCTACATCTCCGGCGAACAAGTCGAGGCGAGCCGTCAGCTTCTTGATCAGATCGGAGAGTGGGCTCACGTTTGGCGCTTTCTTAGAGTGCAGCCGAATGAACGCCCTTGTGGCCCACTTCGACAAACTTGATCCTTGTTCTGTATTGAACAGTTTGCTCGCCAAAGCGTGAGACTCAATGGGATCCAACGATAGAGCTTCCAAATTGTCATCGCCTGCGTCGGTGTTCGGTGTATGGCTTATGAGCTTTAAGCCCATTATGATTACGTCTGAGCTCGAGTCGCATTCACTGAGCTTCATAGACACCAACCTTCGGACACATTCAACATTATGCATTGAGAGACTCGGGGCGTACTCTCGAACGACGTCGAGATACCGCAGGATCCCGCACAGAGCAACAGGGCAGTCGTCGTCGGTTTCATCCACGTGTTCAGTATCTTCAAGCTCCTTGAAGTCCCGTGGCTCAGCGGCCTCGTTTACAGCAATATCACATGCTGCAGCAAAGTGTCCAGAGCTAAATACACCTGGCATGCACTTTGGCATCACCTCATTATTCAAAAAGCAACCGACTGTCGACTTCGACCCAAGGCGTGATACCGCATCTTGAAGGGCAGCAGAACGTTCAGGTGGCGACGTGCATTCGTCTAGTGCCACGCCCATCTTTTCGAATATTCGCAGGTCAATCGCGTTTGCTAGAGACAAGCATAATTTGTGGACTTCTTCGTCCGTCTTTGTCGACAGGCGAAGGTGCTTTGTCAAGTTCCTCGCCAGTTCAAGTGTCTGACTAGTTGCGGGAGAAGTCTGCGTAGTCTCTTGGTCTGTGCTGCTTGCAGTCGTGCGTTTCCTTTTTGAAAACGTCTTTACTGGGGCTTGCTCCTGGTTCTCGTCCTGATTTGGGATAACAGAGGGTGGTCTTTTCCGCGAGTTCAAGCGATATTGAACCAGCTCAAGCAGTACATTTCGCGTTCTTCTGCGCTCCTGTACAAGGTGAATGACGTTCCGAAACTCAGCGTCATGAAGAGTTCCGAGGAAGTCTGCAAATCGGCAGAGATGATTCTTGAGAGTTCGTGCATCCTCATTCTTCACACCCGGGATTCTCTCGAACATAACTCGCTCGATTTCAAAAGCAGTGGTGAAGTCCTCTGCCCCTTTAAGAGCGCTGTGTGCCTGAACAAGAGTGTTTGGGAGCCAGCCCAAGTTGTTGACCTGAGCTTTTGGTTGCTTGCTCTTTTTCTTGTTTTCGGAGGCCCCTTCAACCTCTTTGGCCTCGCTTCGATTTTCCTCATCCGACTGCGACCTATCTGTAGACGATATTCTCGCTTGTTCTGGCGGGCCTGACCCGATTCGAGGGCCGTCATCCGTGAAATTTTGTTTTGTGGGAGTGAAGCTAGACGCGAGATATATATGCACGAGCTGTTTCAGGGTCTCTTGTCTCAGAAATGCTTTTCGATCGCGCAAGCGCGTAGCCAGGATTTGGAGCAATTTCTCGGAGGCTACATTGGCTGCCTCGCTGATAGATCGTATTGCGACGAGTCGGACGCTTTCTTCGCGGTCGAGGACTCTTTCGCGTAAGATGATATCTAGGTCCTCCCTATGTTTCGGATGTGTGACCATAAGTTTCGGCAACACAGCGCAGACTTCCTCACGAATCGCGGGGTTGACGTCCTTGTTTCTTGAAAGAAACTCTACAAAGAGAGTTGGGTAAGATTCAGACATTTGCCGTTGCGATGTGAGCAGTCTAGCTAGTAAATGCACGTTTGCAAGTCTAGCATTTTCATCCGAGGACTGTATCTGGTCATGCAAGCTCGGGATTGCGTAGATAAGAATATCTGGTGCGACACGATTCACGGCGATGATGACATCACCAATGTGCTTGTGATGAACAGATATTTCATCGTCTTGCAGCTCCAGCTCATCCTCCTCCCTCCTGCCCGCGCGAGCCCTTTTCGTGGGCGTTCTCCGACGACCGCCACGGCCCTTCTGCGGCGAAGCAGAGCTCGTCGTCCTTCGCAGCTGTCGGATAGACGCGTTCAGGAGATGGCACAACGGGATCTGTATCTTGTTGGCCGCCATCGCTACAACCGTCTCCGCGAGACTGACCGCCTCCGGCGAGTGCCTCAAACAGTCCACCATCGGTGCAAGCAGCGCGTCCAGCACATCGTTCCCGAGCTGATCCATTTCGTCGAGCATGGAGAAGAGGATATCGGCGTAGTACTCTCTAATCTTCGCTACGTGGTGCTCGGCGACGATGGCGTAGAAGCAGGCGAACAAGTCGCACACGACGTCGCTCTCGTCCGCGAAGAGCACGAAGCTCTTGGTGGTGGCGAGCTGCTCGAGCAGCGAGAAGCGGTCGTTCTCCATGGGATCGGAGGTGGCGGCGAGGACGGCGAGCTGCTCGACGAAGAGCGAGCACACGTCGCGGAGCTTGGGCGGGGCGAACGGAGGCTCCGGGGCCGACACGCGCAGCAGCTCGGCCAGCGCGCACGCGACGAGCAGGCGGGCGGAGTCCGACTCGTGCGAGAGGAATCGCTCGACGGCCAGGGCGGCCGCGAGCGCGCGCACGGTAGCGTGGTCGAGCGGCGGGGCGGCGTCGCGCGCGGGCGACGAGTCGTCCATCGGGTCGGGGTCCTCCGTGACGTTGGGCAGGCGGCGGAGACGGGTGACGAGGGCGCGGAGAGGCGGGAGCGAGTTGTCGTCGGGGATGGCGTGGACGAAAGCGGCGGTAAGAGTGGAGGGGTGTTCGGGTCGGTGGTGGGGGTGGCTCTTCTCCCGCGGACTGTCATGCTGTTGAGGCTCGGCGGGGGGTTGGGGTGGGGACGGAGGGGTGGCAGGGCGGGCGCGATGGTGGGCGGCGATGCGGTCAAAGTCGGCGCGGCGTCTGGACAGGGAGCGCGGGGCGCGTTTCATGGAGCGATGTGAGGCGCGACGCAAGCGGCGTGGCGGGGAGGCAGGGGATGCCGCAGCGGCGGCGGCGGCGCGACGCGTGCGACGCATGGTTGGGGATGGGGAGCGGGGACAAGGGGAAGGACGGTGAGGGAGAGGCTGTGAGGGAAAGACGGTCGGTGAACAGGGGAGGTGGAGTTTTGTGGATGCGGAAATGGAAAAAGGGTTGTTTCGGTTGGATACAGCAGGGAGGGAAGGGGCAAGTGAATTTGGCGCACTGCTGGTGTTTCGGTTGAGATTCCGCCAATAGGAGGGCGGCACTTGGCGGAGAGTCGATTTGGCGCGAGCAGACCTAACACCGCTCGGAATTTCGTTGGGACAAGGTAATTACCTCCACTCCTCTCCTGTACACAGCATTATCCTGTTATACCAAAAGAGGTAACGACGTGTGTTGTCGTCATCCTGTTTACAAGCGTGTACTGGCAACGATTGCGTCGCCTCAAAGACTAACGGTTGTTCGAGAACTGGGATGTACTCGGCACTAGATAAAACAAATTTCTCTGCAGCACAGCACGGCGGCAACTGCTCGACGAAAAGGACGAACGGCCCCGGCTAAAAAAAAACGAGAACAACGCTCAAGATGTAGGTAGGCCCAGTGGTTGCGAAAAAAGGCACCGTCAGTCATCGATATTCTTGAACCTTGTGTAGCCCTTGGGAATGGCGAAGCCCTTTACCGGGTCAGCATAGCCGCCAGTACCCCCACTGGTACCGCTGTTCGCCGGATGCACGCCGCCCTTTACATTGACAACCTCCTCATCATCACTAACAGCGCCGCCACCAAAACAGCAGCCACCCTTCTTCTTCTTCTTTTTCTTCTTCTCCGTCTCGCGCACCACCCTAGCCGCCTGCGCCGACGGCACAGCGGGTGACGGCGGAGCCTGCAACTCTTCCTCCTCGCTGCGCCTCGAGCTCTTCTTCTTCTTCTTCTTCGCGGCGAGCTTCTCCTCCTTGGCCCTCCTCTTCTCCGCCTCTGCCTCCTCCTTGACCCTCCTCTTCTCCGCCTCTGCCTCCTCCTTGACCCTCCTCTTCTCCGCCTCAGCCTCCTCCTTGGCCCTCCTCTTCTCCGCCTCGGCCTCCTCCTTCGCCTTCTTCTTCCCCGCGCTGGCCGACGACCCGCTGCTCTTCGCCAGGCTGGCCTTCTTCGTCTGCGCGGGCGGGGGCGGGGCGGCCACAGCGGTAGCCGGCGGCGCGCCTGCCGGCGGG